ACAAACTTTGTCATGAATAAATCTTCTATTGATAATTTTAGATATTTAATTACAAATGGAGATTTGTATCCAATATATATTCTTAATCTCCTTTGAGGACCCATCTTTGTGCGTTGTGGTGGAGCAATTGAAACATATATCGTATATCTAAAAATTCTTAGATGGGAAATATTTGGTTTCTAACCATAAACCAATTATATATGGAGAATTTATAATAACTCGTTTAGCCTGATGCATACAAATGCTGTTGCATCCAAAATGGTATACCCTCAAGTAGTCATTGGGAGTTTGAATTTCATAAGTAATGACTTTGGAATTAGTTGGAAGTGTTTAATAAATGATTCTATTAGACTGTTTTGTGTATAAACATAAGCAATAAGCTGTTTAATAATTATTCCAACTAGTATGCAATATTAAAAGCTTGAGATGTAAATCCACCAGTATTGTCAAGACAAATAATCTTGATTATTTAACTAGAAAAATGTGCTTGCAAACGAATGATTGCAAATGCCAAATTGCAAGCTGATAATAAGCATAAATGTGACCATCTAGTTGATGCATCGATTAAAATTGTAAAATATCTAAATGGTTCACATGGTGAATGTATGAGTCCACATAAAACCTTGAATATTATTCAAATACGTAGGGAATTGAATCCGAACTTTAGCTAGTGATAGCCTTGTAATTTATTTACCTTCAGAGCAAACAACACATAAAATTCATTAGATTGAAAAATCTTCTAGTTTTTCAATAAATAATCGTATAAATTTTCAATCAATTATTTTTTTGCATCATTATTGATCTTGGATGGTCCGACCGGTCATGTCAAACATTAAAATCATTAGTAAACCTTTGGTTTACTATGGGTTTTAATTATTTTAATATTTGTATAGTTAATTCTAAGAACAAAGCGAGTAATTTTTTTTTTCAACACACACTTTCTACTTGAGATAATAGATGTAATATAGAGGTATTAAGTGTCTTTTTCTTTTATTATCTCAATATGATATCTATCCAAATGAATATCTTTAAAACTTAATAAACTTCTTTGAGACTTAATAGAAAATAATACACCTTGTATTACTTTATTCCTCAAGGTAGTAAAATATTAGCTTTTTTAAAGCCTCTAATTAATCTTGTACTATCAGATATTAAATTGACATTGATTTTTTTTGTCAAGTAGGAAAAACATTTATTGTCTTTAAATATAGTGTGTTTTATAGCAATGTTTATTAGACATATATTTTCATTATTGATCTTAGATCCAACAAGATCAATATCTATATTTTCTTCAATAAAATAAAATATATACAATAAGAAACTTACAAGTTAACATAAAAGAATATTAAATATAAAATTAAAACACATAATAAGAACATATCATTTCAATATAATGAAAACATATTAAAGCATCTTCGTAATATAGTTATACTAAATATACCAATTACTATTAAATTCATTATCGGATATTTCTATTACCAATCAAATGATCACTTCCTTTTTCAGAATAAGAAAATCAATAATAGAGTTTTTTTTATTACCAATCATGTAATCAATTCCTCTTTTAGGGTAGACAAATATCTTCATGTGCTATATCAACTTGACCATGATTAAAAGATAATCACAAGATGTTTCAATTTTCAGTGATGCTTGATAAAATTTAAGACGTACAATAGGTACGTGACTAATAATCTTTCATGCCACATCAATAACAATATGTTTTCTATATTCTTTTTATTCTTTTCATTATTTATCCACTTCTGGTGGGCTAGTGGGTTAAGGTATCTATCTACTTTTGGTACGTTAAAAGTATTCATCTATGTGTGGTAGGTTACAAGTATACAACCACTTTTGATGGGTAATCCACATATGATAGGTTATCCATTTCTGGTGGATTATAGGCACCTATAATTTTTTAGGGTAAAATTATTCATCCACTTCTAGTGGTAAAACTATTCTTAAATTCAGATGATAAAATATCCATCCACTTCGGGTGGTAAACTAATAATTAAAATAGTGATGATATAAATTATTATGGTCATCATAAGTAAATGATATTACATTCACTTCAATGAATGGATGAATTCATGATTATGGCCATAATTATTAAATGATGTCGCATTCACTTCAAGGAATGGACGAATTTTTAATTTTTTTATTAATATTTCATTTGTCATATTCACCTCAGGAAATGAGCATTCATAATTTTTATTAGTAACTCGTTTGTCACATTCACTTCAGAAAATGAACATTCATGGTTTTTCATTAATAGCTATATACTAGCAAATTC